ATATAAAATCACTGATTTCAACATTACATAACCCAACAAGGAGTGATCTGTCATAAAATCAATCAACATAAGTGAGGTCATTAATACAGAATTTATTGTCTTGAAATTATTATTTTTTAATTCATTTTCAATTTATTTATATAAAATTTTTAAAGCTAAAGGACTTCACTAATAATAATCATTTGATAATATAATCTATTATTATAACAAATGATAAAACTTTGATAAAATACAAAGAAGAATCTGCAATGTTATCAGTCCCGATCTAGCATTTCAGTTTCAGTTACTTTCCTGTCACCATAATGTTGCTTGCCTGTGACTTTTCTATAAATATTTTCATGGTAATTGTTCTGATAAACATTCCTCTTTATGACTTTATGAATTTAAGCACAGAACTAGATTGGCAGCTCAGTCTCCTCATTTTATAGTTGAAATGGTTAGATATAACCATAAGTTAACAGCTAACAGTTTTTTCTCTTGCACTTCTCACTTGTGGAAGTCTATTCCAGCTTCTTACCTTGCAGTCAATTTTGATCTTCAAAAATTTAAATGCAATGTCAAATTATCTTTTGTCTTCTTAATTTCTGTTCTTTTATTGTTCTCTCTTCTTAATAACATCTTCTTTTTCTCATATTCTTTCACACTCAGTAACCCCCTTGCATCTTAGCGTTTTTATTGCCTTGCTTATGGTGGAATGATAAAAAAAAATGGCTTCCTCTCTATAAATATAAGTTCTTATTATTTAGCAAAAGGACAGTAAATGATTTCTTATCATTTTTTTGTATTTACTAAGCTTAGTAAAACACAAGACATGTTAGGAAAAATATAGTAAGAACATTGTGTTATATTAGTCTTCTACCTGACTTAAATACATCTAGCAAAGTTATCAATCCCTTTCCTCCCCCAGTTATGGGTTAAATAGAACATGTATTTGGAAAAATCATTGTTATTCTCAAAAAATCATTAATGCAATATTCACCCGTAAAAAAGAATTATTTTTACCATCCAGAAATGTGTTTCAACTTTAAATAATCCACAAAGGGTTGATAAATCATAAAAAAATCAATCAGTCAATCAAGTCCTACCCATTTTGTTGTTTAATCACCTCTATGATCTTTCTTGTTAAAAAAGAAGAGTGCCATTTGGTGAACTTATTTTAATAGAAATATTTACCATATTGTATTTATCTTATATATTTGGTATAGTTAAATGATCATTATTTATTTATTTATATGTTTTAACATTTTTTTAGGAAAAGAATGCACTTTTGAATTTGTAAAAGAGGAGTCTTGTATCATAGCGTTTTGTTGCATTTATTTTTACTATTTATTATACATAGTCGATTATTTTCTACCATTTAACATTTAAGCAGTTGTTTTAACAACAATACTAATAATTTATCTTATAAATATTTGATGATTATTTATTATATATGTTATTTATATTTATTATTTATTACATTCTATTATTTATCATTTAAAACTTTTGTAATAATAATAATAATAATAATAATTGTGACATTTCACAATGATGCATTTTACTGAAAATATTTTTACTGAAAATTATAGAAAATATGCAATTATCTCAGGTACCAAGCAGTTCAAATTTGTTACTTTTTCTTAATTATTTCACCCCAAGCAAGGTGAGAATGCCACTAGTATGGAGGGTGGTTACAAAGAGCAAAAGTGAAGAAAAAGACTGAGTATGGAAAGGATTGAGGAAAGAACAAAAGATAAATGACATTCAAGAAGAAAAAAGATGGCTATTGATGTTGCATTTAAATTTTTGAAAATTGTATTTATCAGGGAAGCAAATATATAGATTGTAGGCAGGAAGTAAAAGAAACTGTTGGAGTAGAAGTGGTGGTTGCATTTAACTATTTCAATAGTAAATGGGTGGGACCTAGATGCCAATCTAGTAGCACACTTAAATTCATGTAGTCAGGGCATCAGGGAAGATAGCTCATCAGAACAGTTTCTATGAAAATACTTATAGAAAAGACGAAGAGAAATCATGCCACATCGATTTACTAAGTTTAATTTAATTTGACACATGTGTAAGGCACCCAGTGAAATCAAACTAACTATATGAATTATTTTATCTATAAAATGAGGTTGCTATGTGATATGTCCTGGAAAAAGGATATATTTGATTGAAATAGCTAAGTGGTTTAGGCTACTGTAACCAAGTAGAACAATCTAGCAGTAAGGAAACTAGTACTTGTCGTAGTCGCAGTCAATAGGTGTAGGCAATAGGTGAAGACCAATAGGATAGCCAATGGCGTAGTCCAATGGGTACCTCTACATCAGCCTGTATTTATGGCTGACACCAGCCAATCATATTTGTGTGAAGGGGAACATAGGTGTATTCATATTCATTATATCACTCTGGTAGATACCAAATCTTCTTTTGTTATTGATAGTTGTTATTACCTGTGAAATTTCCAACTAGTCATTTATATATATATATTTTTTTTACAATGATGTTCATGATGTACAAGGCCCAAGAGCTATTTGAGGTAGAGGCTTACAGAGTAAGAGGCACAGTTTATGGGGATGTGTAGGGAAGATAACAGTTGATCCTAGACTAGTTAAGTTTGTAGTGATTGAGAGAGCATCTGGTTGTATAAGATTGGTTGGTTGGTTGATTTTGTTTAGCAGCACATCAATTTCCATACACTATTCAATGTTGAAATCTAAATTTTTGAACACAATTTTATGGTTTCAACTAAATATATTTTGAATGCAATTGTATGCCTTCAACTACAGTCAAAATGTAACCCTTCTATTGTTGGTAATTCTATTATAAAATGCATTGCTGGTCATTTTGCTTTAAAAAATATATTGTTGGTCATTTTATTATATGTATTGTTGGTCATTTTTTTATATAAAAATGTATTGCTGATATTTTTACTATAAAAATCTATTTTTATACTTTCATAGTGTTTTGTTTTTGTTTGAGTGTTCACCATTTGCCCATAACGGACCCTAATAAGTGCTAACACCCCAAATCAAGGTGGGCCTGGGAACAACAGTAATTAAGATGTGGTTCTATGCTTCTCAAAGCCTCTAATCTCTTGATCAGAGGCCTTGCTGCCGAATGTAGTTTATCATCATACCCAGGACTGATTGTATGAAATGGTTGGGTATTATAAACATTAATATTTTATACAAGTTTGATTAAAGAGTAGTGAATTCATTGCTAAGGTTTTTTTAATTTATTTTTTTATAATTTCAGATCAGTTTTTTTGATCTCAGATGCATATTTAGATATAAATTATGCAATGTCTGAATACTTTTCACTATCTTTGGCCATTATCAAAGACTTCTAATTTTTTGTGCAATGTCCTCAGTTTCTTTATTTTCAAGTATCATATGCATTTCCATATGTTTATTTTATGTTTATATCTGTCTTTTTTTTGGGGTATGTTTGTTTCTAAATTTGTTTTTTATGCTCTAGTAGTTACAGTTGTTTTTTACAGCTTATGTGATATAGTAAAAGTCAATACTTTGATGTACTACAGAAGAAGGCAAAAATGCAAAAACATTCAGAATTAAATGAATATTCAAACAAGATTTCATCAGAAGATTACCAGAAGATGAAAGGATATTTCCAATCTATACAGAACATAATAATATTATGTTCAAAATTAGTGAGAGAAATAAAAGCATTAATAATAATATTCTGCCTGCTCCTTCATTCCTTAGTTAGCAGATACATAACAACTTGCCACTACATAATGGACTATTCTGTTTTGATCAAGGAAAGATAGAAAAGACATATCAGAGATGCTGTTTGATCTCAGTGAAAAAAATGAAAGAAAGAAAGTGTTGTAACATACCTACAGATGATAATGGGTATGTCCCCATTCACATAAATACAGTAGTAAATACTGTATGTTGGTCTGCAGTTGGAGATTTATCTCCATCTGTGATGGTCAAACTCTCTGCCTCTGGGCAGAGAGGATCCTCAGATGAGGCTATGTCAAAATCTTGAAAACAGATACCTGACCCCGTTTTATACAGGGTCTATGGGGAATTTTTAGCCGAGCATACAATTTTGGATACCCCACATTAAATTCGGCCTTGTGCCACATCTGACTGTGTGGGGTGGTTGGCAGATATCCTGCAGTTGGAGATACATTGTGGAATTCACTTGACTCACTTTTAGCAGTTGACTACATGCTGCTGGCAAATCTTATATATGTTGTTCTTGTCCTAAGTATTATCATTCATCACCAACCTTCATTTGATTATTCTATTCAGTAACCATCCCTAGGTTACAACAGAAAGATAGAAGAGGCAATGAAAATGTCCTCATGTATTTAGTGTCTGCTCCAGTGAAATGAAAAACTTGTCAAATTCAAATCTTTTCATTTGTATCATCTTACTTCTTAAATAATGACCTGCATTTATGATTGTTTTTGTAATATTTTGTTAATGTTAAGCTCAAATATTTAACAATGCAATAGGGTGTAGCAGACGTTTAAACTTTACACTAGACAGGCATGTGTTGATAACCCTGTCAGCAGCAGCAACCCCTTTTCAGCTTTTGTGTATATGTAAAAAAATGGGGGCATACATGCTGTGAATACCAAGAGGCTAGGTCTTTCTCTTTAGGTTGCTAAAATTAGTGCTTCATGTAATAGACACACATGGCAACTTAGACAATACACATGACTCACTCTTTAACTCACCAACAGAATAAGTTCAGCTTTTTCTTCATTTTTTTTTAGAGAAACTCCTTGAATTTGCATTTTCATTCAGGAACTGTCCTTGAAATTTTCTCTGCACAAACAGTTCCTGATGAAATAATAATTTCTATCTCATTTTCTTTTACTCGTTTGTTTGTCTATTTTCTCAACCAATTCAACACTTTTAGTTTTTTTTTTTTCGTCAATACACAACACTTTCTCAATTTCAGACAATGACCCTAAACCACAGTGGTGATTATATTAAAAATAGATTTTATATTTTTATACAGTGTATAAGAAGTAATATATGCCTTTTACAAGTAAGAGAAAAGTACTGTCAAAACTAGTAGAAAATAACCCAGTAATGTTACATTGGGTAATTAGAAAGCCTTTCTTCTTCTATTAGCCATGTACTTTCAGAATGTGGGTGATCATGGTTCTCCACAACCTCCTATCTCTTGTAGCTGTCAGCAATCTTTATCCCTTTGCCATCTCTCCCAACCCCCATTCCACCATTTATTTGCACAAGCTCCTCAAGCCCACTGCCTTCTCCTTTCCCTTTTGGTTTTGATATGCCCTATGAGTGCCAATTTCTCCAAGCCTTCCTTCCTCATTATGTGTCTAAAAAATTTCAACTCTCTTTCTGATTTTGAGTCTCCTTTTTGTTACTTTAATACTTCTTTGTTGCTTACATACTCTGTCCATGGTATTCTCTGCATCCTTCTGTAGAACCATATTTCTGTTGCTTCAAGTCTATTCTTCATCTGTGAAGATTGCACAGCATTCACTACCATATAGGTGGATTGATATTGCATAGAAGTTCAGCACTCTTTGCATTGTTTCTAACTAAGCCAGGTCTTTTGAACAGGAGTTGAAATTTATTTCTTGTTTCCTCTTTAGGTTTCCAGTTCCTTCATAATTCTACTCTATACTCCTAATGTTCACTTAAATTCTGCAATTTCATAGTTCCACCAATCCAGATCTTCACAGCTACAACCCACAATAACATGTATACCAGGTTGGCTCATCCTCATTCCCTTTGTCTTCAATTGGTAAGAAGTAAGTTTTTTTTTCTGCAGAATTGCTACTTTGTGGAACAAACTCCCGAGCAGATGCTTCCCTCATAACTACAATATTAGTGTCTTTTTGTCCAGGGTTAGCCATTATCTATCCTACATATCCTTGTAATCTACACTTACTTCCTCTTCTTAGGCCATATAACAACCTCATTCTGTAACCCTCTAACCTAAGTGGCTCTTAAGCCTTGTATTGTGTTAACAATAGTAAATAAAGAATAGGAAATAATTTAATGAAGACTATAAGAAAGAAAAAAAATCAACAGAAAGAAAGAAGATGCCTTTGAAAAGGCTGTCCAAAAATCTGAGAAAGGATAGAAAGAGATGAAAATACTCAATAGAAGAAACAGACTGTAAGTTTTATCCAACAGTAAAGCGGATTTATTAGTTTCCTAACAAATCTATACCAATATAGATACTGCATTTACACTAGACCAACATAGAACGTCCCTGGCATGGATACTGTCTGACATGCTAAGTTTTTTTTTATTTGCAGATTGCTGCTGAATAGGGTGCAATTTCATTATGCATTTCTATCACTTTTATTTATGTCATAAAAAAAAGTCTAATATTTTATAGTCTGTAGCCTTAAAGAGAAATAATTACATTTTTCTGGCAAATGTTTATTCAGTCCCAGAGCAATTGATTCACAAAACAGATAATGCAAAATAAATTGAATATTTATTTAATGGAAAAACTCATAATACAGTCTTTACAACACTTAGGAAACTATATAAATGAATTAAGAAGAAATGCTAGTAAAAGTATCAAAAAATAAAAGTATCAAAATAATATATATTTCTATGACATTTGCAATGCAGATCTTTTTTCATTTCTCTTTTGACAAACTTAGAATTTTATGCCTGCAAAAAAGCAATGTGTCAACAGGAGAGTTTTTGACTTGATATCACTATTATTTTAACTACCTTTACTCCTCAGCAATGTTTACTGTTTTAAAAAGTGATGATTAGAATTTTAATAAAACCTAAATATATGAAAGTAAATTTATACATTCTTCAGAATTGACAACAAAAATAATAAACACTATTTATTAGTGTTTATTTACACTATTTATTTATTATATTTATTGGGATGGTTGGCAAAACATCAGCTAATTGCCAATTGATTCAGACTAATGGTAAATAATAAGGATTCCCTTATAGTTGGTTCACATATTTTAATAATTTAGTAAATGTTTATGAATAAAAAAAATTGTTTTCATATTTATTTCTTTATAAATTGGTAAATGATAAATATTGTATTACATTAGTTTTAATTGTATTAGTTTTTAGAATGTTGTAGATATAAAATTATTCTTGTAAAGAAACAATCTAATAAATAGTGTTTAATATTTTTGTTGTAAGTTCTCAAGAACCCAAAAAATTATAAAATTCACTTTCATCATATGTTTAGGTTTTATTACAATTCTAATCATCGCTTTTTAAAACAGCAAACATTGCCAAGGAGTGAAGGAAGTTAAAATAATAGCAGAGTCAAGGGAAAAACCATCCTTTTGACATTCCATTTTTTCAGCTTTCCTTTTTTATTCTATCACTCAGAGTGTTATTCTTTGAACATTAGTAAGCAATACAGATGAAAAATAAAAAAATTAGTCACCAAAAAACTCACATTTGCATATCTTTTCTTTATGAATCCTATAAGTTACTTCACCAATTAGAACAGAGATTTTGGGCTGCAGGTATTCAAATCTAACCATATACCTGCCCCTTATTTTTCACCAACTACCTGACATATTGCTATCTTTTATCTAATAATAATTGATACTGCTAAGAAATTCAAATAATTAATGACTATGACTAATACTACTAGTGTATGCAAATAAAAATAACATACCACTCTAAAAGATTGAAAAAACTAAATCCATAGAAGATTAAAACACTCCAGATGGCAGTATTACTACTATCAACAGAGGTACTGATGAAAGAAGTGAAAAATTGAAGAGACTTGCTGTCACTTGATATCCAAATATCATAAAACCCAGATTTGCACTCTGGGACAATTAATTCCGGCTGCTGATCAACTACCCAGATAAACTCCTCTGTTCCATTGCAACTCCGTTTTATGTGTGCATGCAGTTAGTAATAGTTAATGCTGTTTCTGTTGGTTGATTTTTGTCATAATCCTCTTTTCAAGTTCTTTTCTTTTCTGAGGTGCTTCAAGTTCATCTTTTGACAGTTTTTTTAGAAATCCATTGACTCACACTCGCGCCTAGTTTCTAGAAGAAAAAAAAATTCAGCTTTGCATGAGTCAGTTTTGGCAAATGTAGTAGAAAAAACATTACATGTTTATTCAAATAGAACAACTAACCAATAAAATGGGTTTATTTAGTTTTAAGAAAAAAAAAAGCTTTTGAACTGGTATTTAATTCAAAAACAAATAAAGAGCTAGCCAGCAACACGAAAAGGTCAATAGTAGAAAATTCATTTACATCAAATGGACTGACTGGTACTGCAGTGACTTCAAATAGACCCAACTGACTGTTACTCACAAAACCACCAGCTTCTTCTTTCTTCTTTTATATGCCAAGACGTAGATGATCATGGCCCTCCACATCTTCCTGTCCCTTGTAGCTCTTAATAAGTTTTGTCTTTTTCTTAATACTCCTAAACTCTGTTCTGCCATCCATTTGCTCAAGCCCATCACGTAAGTTACATGTTGCTTTCCTCTGTCCCTCTTTCCCTCAATTTGTTCCATGAGTATCAAATTTTTCAATCCCTCTTTCCTCATTACGTGCCCCAGAAACTTCAACTGCCTCTTCCTCATGTTAAGTATAAGTTTCTGTTTTGTTTCTGTTCTCTCCAAAACTTTGTTGTTGATCACATGTTCAGCCTATGCTATTCTCAGCATCTTTCTGTAGAACCACATTTCTATTGCTTCAAGTCTCATCTTCATCTTTGAGAAGATTGTCCAGTATTTGCTGTCATACAGGAGCAAAGATATCATATAACAGTTCAGTACTCTTTTCTTTGTTTCCAACAAAATTTTTCTGTCTTTTAATACTCTGCTTAGTTTTTGGCATGCATCTTTGGCCATCCCAATATGTCTTTGAATCTCTGTCCTGTGTTAGAACACTTCCCAGGTATTTAAATTTCTGTACCTGCTTGATTTTAGTATAGATGACCTTTTTGGGCTCACTCTTTTGTAGGATTTCAAATTATCTCAGAATTGAGTAAATCCAGTGAGAAAAGATGTCCTTGTCTTACACCCCATTCTATTTTTGTATATCTGCTGAACTCATTTTCTGTCTATATGCAGGCAGTTTGCTACCAGTTCTATACTGGCAGCAAAATTGATTATGCTAATGTCTTTCCCAAATATTTCAAGGTTGCTGAGCAGCTCTAACAAATCTTTGTGGCATACTTTGCCAAACACCTTTGCATAATCTATAAAATACAGGCACATATCCTTCTGCATTTGTATTGCTCTTTCTGATAACATGAGGATAAATATCACATTCCTTATTCTGGTCTCATGGGCAAACCTGCACTGCTCTTGTCCTATCTCTGGCCTGATTCTACTGCATGCTCTATTCATCAGAATTCAGATAAAGAGTTTTGTTATGTAGCTCATTACGCTGATTGACCAGTGGAATTTACATTCATTTGCACCTGGTTTCTTAGGCAGTGCTATGAAAATATATCTGCTTAGGTCTTCTGGTATCACCACTCTTGTAGATTTCATTTATCATTTCTGTGATCTCGTCTATGCCGAAATCATCTAAGGCTGTCAGCATCTCTATTACAATTCCATCTGGCCCTGCTGCTTTGTTTCTGTTCAATTTGGTCAGTACTACTTCTAGTTTTTAATATTTCTGGTCCATCAGTATTTCTGTGTATTTCCAGTTGTTCTCTTTGGTCATAGAAGAGTTCTCCAATATATTCATTCCATCCCTGAAGTATTTTTTAGGATGAAAAATAAGACCTATGAAAGAGCGGAATAATTCTTGACAAGTCATTGGTTAACTAACTTGAGGTGGTATCTCAAAAAATCACTTTCCTTTCCTCCTGAATGTATGTACAAAAAAAACTCCTCTTTCTTATCAGCATATATTCTCTCTTTGTTATACAAACTTTACTTAAACCTTTTAATTGGCTTAAAGCTGAGTTTAAAATTGTGAATTCTAAACACTTCTCAAGAACCTTTTCATACACATTTTTAAATTAAATTGTTTTTATTTTTCCTTTTTAATTGCTAATGCATAAATGTTTACATTGTTATTTACCATATATACAACTTTGTTTTCTTATTCATTCTAGTTATTTTATTTTTTACAAATCACCTGCTAAAAGGCCCAAGAGCCACTCGAGATAGAGTTACAAAGTAAGAGGCACATTTTACGGGGATATGTGGAGAAGATAACAGTAAGCCCTAGACTTGAACAGGTTAAAAATGTAGTGATCAGGGAAGCATCTTCTTAGGAATTGGTTTCACAAAGCAACAGTTTATGAGAAGGAGCTGTTCAAGAGGAACTTACATCTCACTAATAGAATACAAAGGGAGTGAGAGTGGTTCACTACAGTGTTCGTGGAATGGCAGGTCTTAGCTGTGAAGGTTAGAACTGGTGAAACTAACAAATGTAGTTCATCTGAACACACTTTCAATGGAAGTAGTGATAGATCAGTGAGAGTCTCATGACATTTCATCTGTTGGAAAGATGTTGTAGGGTCATAAATAATTCATCCTGCACAAGGATGTGGAGATGCTTTTGAACTCTATCAAGACTGGAAAGTGAACACCAGGCAATTCCTGTCCATATATGGCAGCAGTATTCCATTTTCATCCTGATCTGGCTCAAATTTTTCTTTGGTAAAAAAGAAAAGAATACTGAGCAGTTACATGATATCTGTCCTTCTTTATGGCAGCAAATGTTGGACGATTTCTTTAAAGATGAAGAAGAGACTCAAGGCGACAGAGATGTGGTTCTACAGAAGGATGCTATCATGAAATGAGCATGTGAGCAATGATAAGGTCTTAGAGAGGTTGCAAACAAGGAGAAGATTTATACTTAACATCAGAAAGAGGCAGCTAAGATTTCTGGGACACATAATGAGGAAGGAGGGCCTAGAGAATCTGATACTCATGGGTCAAATAGAGGGAAAGAGAGACAAGGGAAAGCAGCATGTAACATACTTGGCAAGCTTGAGCAGGTGGATGACTGAACGTGGTCTGGGGAGGAAGCAGATGAAAGGAACTTGCTGAGAGCTGCAAGGGATGGAGTGTGGTGGAGAGGTCATGATCACTTATGTCCTGAAAGGATATGGCACATAAAAAGAAAAAGAATGAATACATGAAGGTTTACCATTTTCTTTTATCGTATATGCAACTTTGTTATCCTATTCATTCTAGTTTTATTAGAAACTAAAACCTTTGTTCCAAATTCTTTTGTACAGTTCAGGTCAATAGAATATTTATCCTCATCTTAAATTTTAATTTTGGATAGCTACATATAGAAAATGATTAAAAAGTCAAAGAAAGAAATTTAAATTTTTAAAAGAATTCCTTGATAATTATTTGATAAAAAAAAAGTGTAACAAATTATATTGGAAAATCATAATCAAAAGATCTTAAAAATTGGAACATCATTTGAGATTTTATATATTGCATGATTTATGTCTAAAAAAATTAAGAAACAACATAAATAAAAAATCGGTTTTTGACAATCCAGAAAGGAGACAACTGTACTTCTTTGTACCTATTTAATCTCTCTCTTTCTCTTATTCCACCAGTTTAACCCCCACATCTCTCATTCTTTACCTGTTTAATCTATCTTTTGATCTGTTTAATCTTTCTCTCTTACTACCAGCTTAAGATCCTTCTCTCTTTTACCTGATTTATCACTCTAACTCTATCTACCTATTTAATTTCCCCCTTCTCTCTTATTCTATCTGTTTAAGCCCCCTCTATCTCTTTACCTGTTTAATCTCTCTGTCTCTCTCTTTCAATCAGTTTAATCTCTCTCTTTCAATTTGTTTAATCTCTCACTCATTCTACCTAATTAATCTCTTTCAACCAATTTAATCACTCTCTCTCTCTCTCTTTCTATCTGTTTATTCTCTCTTTCTTTCTGCCTATTTAGTCTCTCTTTCAACAAGTTTAAGCCCCCTCTCTCTTTTTACCAGTTTAATTGCTCTTTCTTTCAATCTGCTTAATCTCTCTTTCTACCAGTTTAAGCCCCTTCTCTCTCTTTACCTGCTTAATCTCTCTCTTTTCTGTCAGATTACTCTCTCTCTCTCTAACTATTTAATCTCTCCCTCTCTCTTACTCTACCAGTTTAAGCCCTCTCTCTCTCTTTCTCTCTCTTTAACTGTTTAATCTTTCTCTCTTTCAATCTCTTTAATCACTCTTTCTACTTATTTAATCTCTCTCTTTCTACCAGTTTATGATACTCTTTCTTTTGACCAGTTTAATTGCCCTCTCTTTCTATCTGCTTAATTTAATCTCTACCTCTCTCTCTTATTCTGCCATTTTCCTCTTTCTCTTGCTTTTAATCTGTTTAATCTTTCTGTCTCTTTATGCCTATTTAATGTTTCTTTCTACCAGTTTAAGTCCCTTTTCTCATTTTATCTGTTTAATCTCTCTCTCTTTCTACCTATTTAATCTCTCCTTCTCTCTTATACTACCAGTTTAAGACTTCTCGCTCTCTTTATCTGTTTAATTATCTATCTTTCAATCTGTTTAGTCCCTCTTTTTCTATTTAATCTCACTTTCTACCAGTTTAATGCTCTCTCTCATTTTACCTGTTTAATATCTATTTCTCTTTCTACCAGTTTAAGTTCTCTCTTTTCACCTTTTTAAACTTTCTCTCTCTCTCTCTCTCTCTCAGCTTTTTTAATCTCTTTTTATATGTTTAATCTCTCTCACTCTTTCAGCCTGTTTAAGCTCTCTCTTTCTGTCAACCAGTTTAAGGTCCCACTTTCTCTTTCTACTATGTTAAGCTCTCTCTACTGCTTTAAGAGCTCTCCCTCTTTTTATTTGTTTAATCTCTCTCTCTCTATCTGTTTATCTCTTTCTCGCTCTACATGTTTAATCTCTCTTTCTACCAGTTTAAGCTCTCCCTTTTCACCTTTTTAATCTCTCTCTCAGCTTGCTTAATCTCTTTCTCTTAATAACATGCTTAAGCTCTCTCTTACTTTGAGCCAGTTTAAGTTCTTTCTTTCTCTTTCTACCTGTTTAGTCACTCTCACTCTCTCTCTCTTTCTCTCTCTCTCTCTTTCTTCCTATTCTCTGTGGTTTTTCACTGATACTGGTCCTCTTACCAATGGATATTTTTGAGATGTAGCAAAGTAATTTCATTTTTTTATAGTAATTTCATTTTTTTTTTTATAGCGAAGTAATTTCATTTTTTTTATCTGGGTGTGGATATGTGTGTATGTGTTTTTGGTGATCTATATATTTTTTATGTATGAGTGCGTGTATATATGATGTATATTTTTTATGTATGAGTGCGTGTATATATGATGTATATTTTTTATGTATGAGTGCGTGTATATATGATGTATATTTTTTATGTATGAGTGCGTGTATATATGATGTATATTTTTTATGTATGAGTGCGTGTATATATGATGTATATTTTTTATGTATGAGTGCGTGTATATATGATGTATATTTTTTATGTATGAGTGCGTGTATATATGATGTATATTTTTTGTGTATGAGTGCGTGTATATATGATGTATATTTTTTGTGTATGAGTGCGTGTATATATGATGTATATTTTTTATGTATGAGTGCGTGTATATATGATGTATATTTTTTATGTATGAGTGCGTGTATATATGATGTATATTTTTTATGTATGAGTGCGTGTATATATGATGTATATTTTTTTATGTATGAGTGCGTGTATATATGATGTATATTTTTTTATGTATGAGTGCGTGTATATATGATGTATATTTTTTATGTATGAGTGCGTGTATATATGATGTATATTTTTTATGTATGAGTGCGTGTATATATGATGTATATTTTTTATGTATGAGTGCGTGTATATATGATGTATATTTTTTATGTATGAGTGCGTGTATATATGATGTATATTTTGGCTGTTTTTTTGGTGTAGATGTTTTGTGTGTGTGCTGATGTGTGTTTTTACTGTTTTTTGTGTGGATGTTTTGTATGTGAGTGTGTGTATATGTTGGTGAATGTCTTTCCTGTTTTTTTGGTATGGATGTTTTGCATATCAGTGCGGGTGTATGTGTCGGTGTGTGTCTTTAATGTTTTTTGCTGTAGATGTTTTTTGTAGGAATGGGTATAAATGTGGATGTTTGTGTCTTTGCTGCTTTTTGGTGTGGATGTTTTTGTGTGTATGAGTGGGTTGGTAGGTGGGCATATGTTTTGTTAGTGTGTTTTCATTCTGTGTAATTAGTGCTTTTTGAGATGTTGATATTAGATGCCTGCATGCATGTATGCATACGTGAAAAGTGTGAGGTGTGTTTGTGTTTGGGTATTTTGCATGTGTTTTCTGAAGATTGCTTTTAATTAAAATACTTTACAAAGAAGATCTTTTATCCATGGAAACTGTATCTATCTCAAACATCAAATCAATTGATTTTTATTTCCTTCTTTTCTCACTTTTTCTTTCTATTTCTTCTTCCCAATTACTTCATTTATTTCAGTCTCTCTCCTTTGCTTTTGACATCTTTTTAACTCATTCCCTTTTTATGTATTTCTACTTTATCTCTCTCTATTTTTATCTCAGCTTTTTTTCTCTTTCCTTTTTTTCTCATCTCCTGTTCTTTGATCTCTCTTTTTTACTCTTCTCTTTTTTTTTTTCATTTAATACATAAATGTTGAAAGTAATGCAATACTGTAAAAATCAGTTCCACTCCAAAGTTGGCCATTCCTTAGTCTCCAAGTGTTTAAAAATTGCTTTCAGTCGTTACAAAAAATTTTCATAATGGTTGTAATCATTTTTTATTTTAATTAGTATTTATTAAAATTACTATTCATATTGCTGAAAATTGTAAAACTCTAGGTGAAGAGTCTAGTTGGGTCATAATCCTCCTTAGCTGTCATGTGTGATGCATATTTGAGTAATCATGTCACTTTTTGATTCATGATTGATTTAACAGAAGAATTCCCACATTAGACTGCCATTATTTTTTGGAGTATACTAGTTGCCAACCAAGACTATAGGACCTAGTCTATTTAACCTATAACTGGGGAGAGTGAAAAGTTGAATTTATACCTTTCCCAAATGTATTTGCATATAAGTGAATGTAAGAAACTTGACTGAAATTCAAACTTGACTCTCCAATTTCTCATTCCGAATCATTATCCTGGGGAGGGTGAAAAGCTGAATTTATACTTTCCCAAATGTATTTTCATGTAAGTGAATGTAAGAAACTTGACTGAAATTCAAACTTGACTCTCAATTTCTCATTCGAATCATTATCCTGGGGAGGTATAAAGCTGAATTTATACTTTACCAAATGTATTTTCATGTAAGTGAATGTAAGAAACTTGACTGAAATTCAAACTTGACTCTCCAATTTCTCATTCCGAATCATTATCCTGGGGAGGGTATAAAGCTGAATTTATACTTTACCAAATGTATTTACATGTAAGTGAATGTAAGAAACTTGACTGAAATTCAAACTTGACTCTCCAATTTCTCATTCCGAATCATTATCCTGGGGAGGGTGAAAAGCTGAATTTATACTTTACCAAATGTATTTACATGTAAGTGAATGTAAGAAACTTGACTGAAATTCAAACTTGACTCTCCAATTTCTCATTCCGAATCATTATCCTGGGGAGGGTGAAAAGCTGAATTTATACTTTCCCAAATGTATTTACATGTAAGTGAATGTAAGAAACTTGACTGAAATTCAAACTTGACTCTCAATTTCTCATTCCGAATCATTATCCTGGGGAGGGTGAAAAGCTGAATTTATACTTTCCCAAATGTATTTACATGTAAGTGAATGTAAGAAGCTTGACTGAAATTCAAACTTGGCTCTCAATTTCTCATTCGAATCATTATCCTGGGGAGGGTGAAAAGCTGAATTTATACTTTCCCAAATGTATTTACATGTAAGTGAATGTAAGAAACTTGACTGAAATTCAAACTTGACTCTCCAATTTCTCATTCCGAATCATTATCCTGGGGAGGGTGAAAAGCTGAATTTATACTTTCCCAAATGTATTTACATGTAAGTGAATGTAAGAAACTTGACTGAAATTCAAACTTGACTCTCCAATTTCTCATTCCGAATCATTATCCTGGGGAGGGTGAAAAGCTGAATTTATTATTTACCAAATGTATTTACATGTAAGTGAATGTAAGAAACTTGACTGAAATTCAAACTTGACTCTCCAATTTCTCATTCCGAATCATTATCCTGGGGAGGGTATAAAGCTGAATTTATACTTTACCAAATGTATTTGCATATAAGTGAATGTAAGAAACTTGACTGAAATTCAAACTTGACTCTCCAATTTCTCATTCCGAATCATTATCCTGGGGAGGGTGAAAAGCTGAATTTATACTTTACCAAATGTATTTACATGTAAGTGAATGTAAGAAACTTGACTGAAATTCAAACTTGACTCTCCAATTTCTCATTCCGAATCATTATCCTGGGGAGGGTGAAAAGCTGAATTTATACTTTCCCAAATGTATTTACATGTAAGTGAATGTAAGAAACTTGACTGAAATTCAAACTTGACTTTCCAATTTCTGAATCATTATCATTCACACTATCTGTAGTGACACTGGAAAATTAATATGCCTAATTTGCATAAGTGCAAGAGAAAGCCTATATAACTCGTCACTGAGAATAACGTGGGACGAAAAGAAGCTTAGCTATACGTCTTCTGTGTCTGACTTCTGTTGAACTCTCTGCTTTAGCAGAGAGGAACCCAGATGAAGCTTTGCTGAAGAGCAAAGTTTTATTCAGGGAGGTAGACAGGCCATGAACCCATCTAGGTGGGTTCAAAGGGTATATTTTTGGCCAAGCCTATGGGCTCGGATAAACCCACATTAAACTCGGCCTTGTGTCACATACATTTCTCATGGGGGGTTTGTTAAATACTGAAGACATGCTTAGCTGTACATCTTCTGTGTCTGACTTCTGTTGAACTCTCTGCTTTGGCAGAGAGGAACCCAGACGAAGCTTTGCCAAAGGGAAAAGTTTCGTCCAGGGAGGTAAACAGGCCCTGAACCCGTCTAGGCGGGTTCAAAGGGTATATTTTTGGCTGAGCCTACAGGCTCGGATAAACCCACGTTAAACTCGGCCTTGTGCTACATAATTCCTCGTGGAGGGTCTGTTAAATACCAAAGACAAGCTTAGTGACTGACTAGTGCTAAACTTTGACTTCACATCACTATCCAAACATCCAAACTTAAAGCACCTGATATTCCCAAGTGATCACCCATCTAGGTACTGCTGGTAATAAGACAGAGTAAAACTTGTAATAAAATAAGCATAATTATGATAATTGTTTGAACTGCTAGGTAAGGTTGATATATTTGGGAAAGATATTCAAATAATCCAGAACTTATGCTTCGAGCAAACCACTTGCATATGGATAGAAAATGAATCCAGTAAATATACAAAAATAAATAGAAAAAGGTTTTAACAAAGATGTGTCTTCTTACCTGATTTATTCAATCTTCAACTTGAGAGAATTAGAAATCCTACCTAGAATCATTATTGGTAGCTATAATCTTAACAACGTAAGATATGCAGATGACACAGTGTTCATAGCAGACACAGAAATTAAACTGCAGGAACTACTACAGAAGATAGTAAAGGAAAGTGAGAAGAAACAACTAAACATCAATCGTAAGAAGAAAAAATATATGGTTGTCAGAAAAAGGAACAGCCCAAGATGCAAACTATAAAATGGAGATACCAGAATCAACCACCTACAAAAATTTAAATATATAGGAAGTGTTTTAACAGAGGATAGAAAATGCAACACTGGAATCTGAATGTGTATTAAAATAGAAAAAGTTGTGTTGTGTTCCAAAAACTAAGCAAAGTATTAAGAAACAGGAAAATTTCATTAGGAGCAAAGAAAAGAGTACTGAAGTAGTTTGTTTATTGGCATATCAACTCTTTATGGGTCATTTAATGCCGAAATTTAATTTTCATGGAGGCATTAGTAATTTCTTTTACAGAAAATGTATTGCAGGTAATTTTTTTTTCTTTTACAAAAAATGTATTGATGGTAATTTTTTTTCCCCATCTATAGAAATGTATTGCTGATAATATTTTTTTCCTTACTGAAATGTATTGCTGGTAATATTTTTTTCCTTA